TCCCAGTTTATAAATTTGTTCTTACCCAGTACTTTTTCATCCCTAGGCATGTCCATTAGCCCTCAGATATCTCCTATAATTTTTTCTAAGTTCTAAATGTGATCAGTAAATTACAAAAGAAATGAATATATGCCTCCAAATAAGCAGTTTGGGGAAGATAAGCTACTCACAACATATCTATCTTGAATATTTAGTTTTTCTGGGTGGTCTCATACACAAGAATTGGGCTTATCAAGCCATTTATGCCACCCAAGTTTGGCCTCTTGGTATAGCCTCAGTGGGGTTTCCCCAGACCACCCAGATGGTGTCACCTCTTCCTTTCCTGGCAGTATTTACAGCCTGTGCTCTCCCAGTGAACATCTCATTTGTCATATCCTCATCTGTAGGGCTGATCTTCCATTGCCCATTTGGAATTTCTTTGAGCTGACATCCCAAGCTTCTCCTTCATCGGGACTATAGTATATACAGTATAAAAGTGGTAAAAAGAATCTCTTTGCCCTTTGGTCTTATGGTGTCAAATGTGCCTGCTTTTTCTTCTGCCCATCCTTTCCTGTTGACTGATCCATCTTGTACTAGTATAAAAGAAAAGGAAGACTAGAGGGAGAGATGCATGCAGCTGGGCTTCTGTCATATTCCACTTCCCAGACAGAGGGATGCCCAGGTCCTTCCACTGAAAATGGGATCTGAGCATATAATTAAACTGTTACTTGCAGGGTGGGCGGGATGGAATGAAGCTGAGACAGCCTATTGGGAGGAAACTCTATGCCGGAGCCTAGATGACCACCTAGTTGGCCATCCACTTGGATTGATGCAGTCACACTACAGACGCAGACAGTGAGGCTAGAGACTGAGGTAGGAAACCAAGAGCCTCTCTCAAGAGCAGGTTACACAAGGGTGCCCTGGGCTCTTCTGTGCAGGTGACAGGGCAGGAAGTTGTTTGGACTCTGGAAGGTGCAGATGAGTAAGTACAAGCATTATCATCACTCAGATCATTGCTCCAGCTCCGCGCTGTCAAAGTGTAATGATGAGTCCTCCAGATGTGATAGTGATGGCAGGGCAGAGCCTCCCGTATTCCTCTAGAACTATGATGGGCTCCCTGGTCTGAAAAGGTCCATTCATGTCCCCTCCAGTCTCTGAGCTTAGCTTGATGCATGGAAGGATTTTCCAAGGTCCAAATTTGCTTAAAAAAATCAAGCTAAGATTTGTTTATCTAGTCCCCTAACCAAGCCTTGCCACTTCATTTGGATTCAAATAGGACTTAGGCCTCTCCAGACTCATGTTGGAGCTTGGTAGACTGTGTAGCAGCGTTGAGAGGGCTGGGATCTTTAAGGAGGACTTAGGGACTGGGAAGGTTGCTCAGTGGTAGAGTGCTTACTTAGCATGTATAAAGTGCTAAGTTCAATTTCCACTACCCAGAATAAAGCAAAAAAGAGATAGGTCATGGAGTTATCACCTTCACCAATATATAATTCCAATATGTCCTTAAAGAGACCTGGTTAATTCTCTTGAGACTGAATTAGTTTTTATGAAAGTAGGTTGCAATCCTGGCACCACACTTTGGTTTCTCTTGCGCATGTGCTGCTTCTGCCTGTACTGGCTACCCTTTCCACCTTCTGCCAGGAGCTGAAGTATTGCAAAACCCTCATTATAAGCCAATCAGAAGCTAACACCACATTCTTGGACTTCCAAAATGAAGACCCCCACATAAAGCTGTTTCCCTTATAAATTACTCAGACTCAGGTGTTTTATTATGGTAACATCAGATAGGCTAAAGCATTTCCTTATATGTAACCAACCCTCAGGGTCTAGCCTCAGGTTATTTTTAACAAAGCCACTCTGTGTCTGTTTATCTCCATTTCTTTGAGTAGCATCTCGTTTGCTAGAGATTTGCTGCTCTGTCTTTTCCGTTCTGATCACCATTTTTGCTGTATGAAGATTTAAATGTAGGCCCATGTACTTGAGCTTTGGGAAGGTGATCTGGAGCTATATGGGTCTTGAAAGAGAACAAGGAGGAGTCTATGGGAGGGCTTGGAGGGAGGAAAGGAAAGGGAGAATGATGTAATTATAATCTGTTAAATTTAGCAAAACCATAGAAAGTTGTCAGTCCAAAGGGGTGGGGATCTAAACTCCCTCTGCTGGCCAGTGACTCTCCAATGTGCCGCCTACAGGACAGATATCTCATAGCTCACAAACTATCCCTTCCTTTAAAAGTGTGTCCTAATTGCCTCTTCAGTGGCCACGACTGCATAAATGCATACTTCTGTCTCCTCCCATTGTCACTCACAGGCAGACTTGCTGGGACCACTTTTCACACAGTCTGTTTCTGCAGCATTTCCTCTCTCTCCGCCTTTCTCCTCTCCTTTTATTCTTCGGCCCATTTTTGCCGTGTCGCAATTCATGTATCTCCTACATGCCAAATGTTAGACAACATTAACGTTTTGTCTTGTTCTGTCTTTCACATTGCCCAGTAATCAGAAAGTATGAGCATTTATAGTTGTCTCCCCCGCCCCCACATAGTTTGAGGTATGGTCTCCGGAATAACAGCTTCTACTAGGGAGGCTTATGTGTGGTTGTTTATAGGATATTTTAAAGTAGGACCAGAGAGATGGCCCAGCTGGTAAAGGTGCTTGCCACCAAGCCTGACAACCTGAGTTTGACCCCCCAGGACCCCCACACACAGTAGAAGGAGAGAACCAACTCTCACGAGCTGTCCTCTGATCTTTACACACGTGCCGTGACGTGTGTGCAAGCTCATGGGTTTTTTAAAAAAATAAAAATAAAAGAATATTTCAAAGCAACAAGGCATGAGAAAGACGTCCTGGAGGAGGCATTGTTGGGACTTGGCTGGGAAGAATTAGGCCATAGGGTGTTGGCGGTTTCATGAATAAGCAGTAACCCTAATCCTGGGGTAAAGGAGGTTAAATGGCAAGCTTTCAGCAGTAACTTCATTAGATAAACACACATCTGTTCCCAGTCTACTTTATACCACGCCAGAGAAGGAAGGAAAAGGAGAGAGTAAATAGAGCACTGGAAAAAGCTGACAAAGAGCAAAGAATATTGGGAGACCCTGAGCCACAAACACACCCGCTCCATGCAGGGCATGTCCGGGAGGGAAGGAGGCCCTGAGAGCAGCTTGGTTTTTCACAGCAAAGTTGATGTGTCTGTTCTTACACATACGGTGCAGGGAAACATCAAGGAGGAAACACACATGGGCATGCACACACATGATCCTGCTAGTCAAAGGTCACTATTGTAGCCATACCTCTTTCCAGTCTTTCTGCTTTTCTGCGTCACAGCCTAGCTGAGCTCATACTGTAGCTGCAATCTGATAACCATTTCCTTCTCCCATCTGCCCGCCGTACAGTTGCCTGCACTTTGATGAGTTCCGTGTGTGTGTGTTCTGATGCCTGCCTGATGCTTGCTCTGCCTCATGGCTGCTCTCCAGCACTGGGCCTTCACAGTAGTTCAGAGCACGCTGTGGATCAAACAACCCTGGGCTTGACTCCCAGTCCCCTCTACCCCATTTAATTGCTTGGTGACCTTGGGAAATGACTTTCTCTCAATTATTTCAACAGCAGCATGGGCATATTGATATCACTTCCTGCTAGAATTGCTACATGAGTTACCCAAGTCAAAGATTACTAACTCTTCTTGCAAAACCACCTCCTCCCAAGAGGAAGAGAATATTAATGGCCATTTACTGATGGGAAAGAAGAGCTATGTGAGGTTGCTTCTCATTGTCCTTGGCTAATAATAGACATTTGTACTGCAGATTTCAGAACCTTTCTCTTACCCTGCTTACCCTGCTATAGCTGTTACTCGGGGGAATTTGTTGGAATTGGCAGGTAATGAAGAAATGGGATGAAAATCTATTGAATCCAGAGTCTGCGTGCTATGATGTCCCCACCCCCACCCCTAAGTTCCTTGTGTGTCCAGTATTCTCTGGATTTTCTTTCAAACAAATTCTTTCTATATCCCATTGCTGTGTCAGTGAAAGGTAAGTCAGAGGGGAAACTGAGCATCTGCTTTTCGTGATCCCTGTGGTAATGTCACACCAGTACACTTTCAGAAACCAGCAGATACTCTGTGCAGTTTTCTTAGAACCACAAATGTGTGGTACCTGAGAGGGTGAGGACTGTCAACACCGATGTGATGCACAACCTTCTCCAGTTTTTCCCCAGTGCTGTCCTACTGGATGCTTCTCCCCTTGCCCTTAACATCACTGCACAAGATGGTGCTGGCTGTGTTCTCCAACCCCTGAAATGTTTGATAAGTCCATCTTTGCCTATCTCCCTCCTACAGTCAATCTTGGGTGGCAAGGAAAAGTCCACAAACACCAGTTCAGGGATGAATGCTGTTGATTGCACGGCTGCTTCCATCACCTACAGAGTAACCGTGGGTAACAGAAATAGTGAGCTAATTCGAAAAGCCCCATATCCATTCCAGTTTATCACACGGTAGGGCATAACTGCTATGTGGGGGATCTCATAAAGACCTGTCTAGCCTCAGCATAGAAAGAGGCAGAAAGTGGAGAACTTGCCAGGCTTTAGTGTACTCTTGGTTTGCATTTAGTTGACGGGCCCACACATTCTACCAGGTCTGATCTTGAGTCTTCATGGCGACTCTTACTGACCTACTCAGTTATTCAGCTGATTAAATCTTAATTGCAAATGTGGTTTCAGTGCAGGGACACCATTGTGCTTGCTGGTTTCAGGTCATTTTTGCTGAGCTGAGGTTTTCCAGATGGCTGATGGAAATTTAGAAAGGGGGAAATGGCATTTCATTTGTTGGTCTGAGTTGTGTTTTGCTTACTGAATTTACTTTAGTGTCTATTTAGAGGTGCCAAACAAAAGCTTGTGTCCCCAGAGAGACTTGCTTAAGTTTTTGGAGAGGTTCTCTAAATTGTCCACACTGCACATAAAAATCCATTGTCTGTGGTTCGTCTGGGATACTACAGCTTGCCAACAATCTCATGTATAATTTTGATTGATTTTTTTCAGAGACCCAAGAAGCCACCACCTCCGTCCGCTCCTGTCATCAAACAAGGAGCAGGTAATGTACCTTTCAGGTCCCTCACGCAAAATGTTCATCTTTCTTTTGCATAAATTCAAATTTTCTTTGTTACAAGTTCAAGATTCTTGGACTCACAGACTGCTAGCCTGGGGGATGTGATTTGGTCTCAGCAGGCAGGTTTCAAATGAGTTGCTGTTTTTCCTAGACGCGAACAAACAAAAGAATCCGCATCACTAAACGTGTCTCTGGCCAGAAATTACTTTAAAATGAACTGCGTCTGTTTTCAACGATCTGTTTTTGAGGAGCAAAGAACTGGTTATTGTCCTTAATGAGGGTCAGCATAGGGAAGATTGCTTCCCGTGGAATCGCATCATTGTAGACGTACAGTTGCTGGGTTTTTACTGTCTGTCCTATGTGGTTAGCCAAAATTTGCACTTACTTCACTTCCCCCAACAAGAAGCTGTTTTTCTAGCCATAGATATTTTCCCTCTCAATTCTTTTCTAGTCTTGAAAAGAAAATTCCAGTTTACTCATTCTACGTAGCTTAAATATTAATGTTGAATCATATAGGAAGAAGTGATGTCATTAAACATTCAGTAACTCACTGCACAGTGGCTTCTCATACATAAAGATGATTCATGCTTCCCACTGGAACTCTTCTTTATAACAGTCACAGTTAATTGTGGGGAGAAATTCCTTTGTGGATGACTCTTTAAGTAGTTTTAAAACAAACTGAAGACAGAAAGGGACAAGGGGAGATATAAATACAATCAAAACACATGGCATGCATGTATGAAAGTGTCACAAGGAAGCCCATTATATTAGGCAATGAATACAAGCTCATATATGTGTGTATGTACATATTAATTTTAGCAAGAAACAACTAAAACAAAATTAAGGCTGTTTTTAATTTTTTAAAAAGCCTGCAATTATGATATATCTTATAGCATATAATATATGAATAGATGTAAATTGCTAGATTTTATTTTTTCATACATTTATTAAGAAGTGTTTTGTTTTGTAAAGAAAGGGCCTCTCACCCTAGCCCTGGGTGACCTGAAACTCACATGAAGTTCATTCAGGCTGACTTCCAACTAAAAAGTGATTTTTCTAAAAAAGTATTTGTTGAGGGTACCACCAATTTGGAGGGAAAAATCGACTTAAGGCTAAACTTCTTTCCAATTTATTTTTATCTAATTGAGAATTACAGATATTGACCCCTAGAATTGGGTGTTAATTGTATCTCTCATTCCACCCCATTCCCCCCGACATTGAACAGTTTCATTTTGCCCCCTAGTGGTTCTGACTACATAAATATTTGGTTTGCTAAGTTTAAAACAGACCGGTTACATATTTTGCCCTGAAGATCCTTTTTCCTCGAGGCCTTCGTGATCAAGTGGAGCCCAAGGCATTGAACTGAGCAGTTTGAGGCTTGGGCAGCCTAGAATAGAGAAAATAGGACCAGATTCTTGGAGATAGTAGAATCGTCGTTAGAAATGATACTGTATGGTAGCATGGTAGAGAAATTCTTTTTGAAATAATTTTATCAGCATTGGTGATGAATTTCTGCTAGGTAACACTTCATCTTCCTTCTCTTTTCTGTGGAAGTAGCTTGATAATCGCTTTGTAATGCAGAAATACATAGACATTCATATTTCCATCATCATCACCTTTCTTTTACCAAAAGAGCCCAATTATGTAAATGACATAGATCCGAAACAGTGTTTAATGTAGATTAAGACATTACAAGGAGTCACATGGAGTATATGTTCAATGCAATGTTAATTTTTTAACCCCTCGAGGCCTCATAATTCTGATTTCAATACCTAAGACCCATCCATTGGGCCAGCCAGGCAGAGTATCAGGTACTCTTCCAAGTCTGTCACAAGAGTACTTTGGATGGTTTTGTGCTTTAACTAGCTCCTGGTGCTCTTATATGCCTGAAGGCAGGTGAGGGAATAGTGGCAGGCCGCAAGAGTAAAGAAGAAATGTAAAGTGATATATTGGGAAACATGTAATACTTGAAGAATTCACACAGAGAGAAAGAATTCAGGGAAAACCACTGTAACACAACTGCATGTTCCTCAAAATTATGTTCTAGATACTATTGCTCTGTGACAAACCACTCCAAATTTAGTGGCATAAAATAGCAAATCTTTATAGAGCCATAGATTCTGTGGGCGAAGAATGTGAACAGAGCATGACCAAAATGGTTAGTTTCTACTCCATCCAGCCTGAGACAGTGGCTGGGAAAACTGAACTAGTAGAGGCTGGAATATCCACCTGAAAGATGGCTGCTTCGCACACACGTGTTGCTCGGGAGACCGGGCTTGGCTGGGGCTGCAGGCCAGGGGCGTATGCATGGCTTCTCCAGGGTAGTTGACCTCTCTATACATGGATGTCCACTATTCCAACCAATAAAGTGTAAGCTAGATGGCCTCATATAACTTAGCCTTGGAAATAGCATGGAATTAGTTCAACTATTGCTCAAAGCATCCACAAGGCTGCCCCCATTCTGGCTAAGGGAATATAGACTTCACCTTATGTTGCAAGGTCTATCAAACAATTCTAGGCCATATTTTTAGTCTATTACAAGATGCAGTCCTTGAAACCTGTTCTTGTTATGATTTCCTATTTATGTGTTTTAATGAGTAAATTATTTCTACACATTCTGCATGCCTACTCCATTATATCTTTTGACTTTTAATGTTCAAAGAAACAAAGTGTAGACATTTAGAAAAGATTAATGATGTTTTATTAATGAAATACTTACAGTTATGCAAACTTTATTTATTCATTTATTTGGGTTTTTTTTGAGACAGGGTTTCTCTGTGTAACAGTTCTAGCTGTCTTGGAACTCGCTTTGTACCCCAGACTAGTGTCCAATGTATAAGAGAGATGCCTGCCTCTGCCTCCCAAGTGCTAGAATTAAAAGCATGCCCCACAATGCCTGACTTGCAAATTTTTTTAAGACAGTCTTACTATATATCTGTAGTTGGCCTTCAACTTGTAGTGATCACTTGTAGTTATCTTGCCTCCAGAGTGCCAGGTTTATAGGCACACACCACCACATGTGACTATGCAAGCCAGTTTCATGACATAATGTGGAAATGAGTTCTGCTATGTTTCTGAGCAACTAATATCTGTATATCACAAGCAACCATCTCAGGGACGAAAATCTATTGCCTATGCTGTACTTGATAAATATTTAAATGTAATTATGTCAACTACATAGAGAAAACATTTTCTGATTGCAATTAGCTTTTCCCTTCTAGGTACCACAGAGAGAAAACATGAAATTAAAAAGATACCCCCTGAAAGACCAGAGACACTTCCAAACAGAACAGAAGAGAAAGGTATGAGATCAATTCTTCATTGGCATGTGTAGAACAATAAGCAATGAAGCTGTCTGTCACAGCTCTAGTTCTGATAACCCGCCCACACAATTTGCTTTCTCTTTGGAATATGGTGATTACTGGTTTGTTTGGATTGCTTCCAAATATATCATTTTGAGGGAAATATAACTGAGCAATGTGGCACTTTATAGGACAGAATTGCTCTTCAAATCAAAACCAACCAGCTCAGGGCTCTTCCGTGATGTGTCTACCATTGCCACCTTCCCTGTGCCCCAAACTTGGTTATTTTTAAGTTCATCAAGAGCCCTGCATATATCTGATGTTCTTCATCTAGTCCTTCCACCTTTTTCAATGTCTTTGGGGGCACTGATAAATTGCGCCATTGATATGTTGTCTTGGCTTGCTGAAATTCCCATCCAGACAGATAAAAGCCCTCATCTTTGGTCACTGCTGGGCCCTTGACTCTGGCTAATAGCATTACAGACACATGTTCCTGGTCAAGAATATTGGAGGGGAGCCGGGCGGTGGTGGCGCTGGCCTTTAATCCCAGCACTCGGGAGGCAGAGGCAGGCGGATCTCTGTGAGTTCGAGGCCAGCCTGGTCTACAAGAGCTAGTTCCAGGACAGGAACCAAAAAGCTACGGAGAAACCCTGTCTCGAAAAAATTTTAAAAAAAAGAATATTGGAGGGGAGTCGGGGTAAACAACTCAGTTTCAGAGTCTCCAGAGAAAGTTCAGAAATTCCACTGGCAGAGAAGTCTCTTAAAACCTTATGCAGTCAGGTTTATAAATGTGTTTGATTCCCATCATCCGGGGTATCTTTTCCAAAGAAATCTGCATGCCATGGAAGGGTTCCTAGTCCTAGGTTCCCAACTTTTGATTAATCACACATTTTTATGGGAAAGTGCTATATTATTATGAACAGGAAGCCAAGCAAGTTCCATTTTAAAAAGCAGTTATTTTGAAGTCACAAGAGAAATGCTGTATTAATGAATATAATTATCTGGAGGTGCTCCTCGGTGGCCTCATGAAATTTTATTGTGGAATTTAATATTTCACATCAGCTTGCTGAAAGTTTTGCCAACATTGTAAGCTATTAAGGCTCTATGCCTCTTTCTTTCTTGCTAATCAGGTAAAATCTGAGTCATTAGAACCTCATTGTGAAGGCCAAGTCTGTGTTAGAAATCAATGGAAAAAATTGCTATTCAGTGTATGCCCTATCAACAGCTCTTGGCTAAAAGCATGTGTTGTGAACTAACTAAACACTACCCCCTGTCCTCATGGGAGACTCTACTCCCTGCATCCTAGCTGGGCTCTGGGATGAGGATACTTCCTCCCTTGTCCCATGCCGACTAACTTATAGATGGATGTGTGAGCAGCCATTCTCCTTGGCTGACCATGTAACCACACAGCCCCCACTCTTCCTCTCACAGAGTCTTTATCCTATGCCACAGAGCCAGGGAGGCAGAAGTCCTAGCCAGAAGCAATAGGACCTTTAGGGAACCAGTGTCTGAGTCTTAGCATCCCTGTGATGCCACCAAGATCCATACCATCCCACAAGTCACGGCATTCCTGTCCTGATTCTGTTCCTGTTGCAAGCCAGGGAGTTACCCCTCCTTACCATTTAGCTTAGCCCCTCCTTTTCTGGCCCTAGTGTACCAGAAAGTTCTTATCACTTCTGGTTGGGTGTGTTTTCCTTTAGAAAATCAGAGAAGGCAAGCCAGTGGTGCCTGCGTAGGACCTAAGGAGGTACCTAAAGTTATTGCCACTTATTCTGAGCTCCCAAACAATGTTTCATGTCTGTGCTTGCCAGTGAGAGACTGGTGTTCTTAGGGATTGCATACAAATAAATACAGGAATTTTACCTGTCCTTCCATAGGCCTTACACACAGAAGTTCAGTCTTCATCAGTAAGGTTATAGGTTCTTGCTTTTTGCATTATACACAAGGATACACAAGGCAAGGCTAGTTGGAGGATGGGAAAATTGAAGCTGTCATTGTACACCACTCAGTTGGCCTACTTACTGGATCTGGATTTGAACTCACTCTGATAGTTCCTTGACTCCAAAAGTGGAGTCTAAAATCTGAGAAGACCCCCTTCTAAGTTCAAAATCTGCACAAAGGTCCCTGAGCAAGCTAGTCTCTGAATAGTTTCCTCCCTTATTGGCTAATGATCTTAGCGTTTAATCAGGCTCATTTTTTCTGTGTACCCGGCAAAAGATTGTGTGGGCCATATGGTAAACCCATCCGCTAGCTATTGAGCATCACTTGGATGCCAGCCCTGCACAGGCTCTTAGGGAAATGTTTGAGCCAGGCTTTAAAGGGTGAGTAGGAGCTGGCTTAGGGTCAGTGGCTGAAGGACTAGCACCAGCAAGAGCGCAGGAAGAGGGGGGCAGGGAATTCTGGTTTTTCCTACATTGACTATGAGTAAATGGTACTCTTTGCTATCAGAAATGGTATCGCTGTGCTTTCTTGTTGAAGAAGGGAATAAGCAGTCTGCATCCCAATGTTGCCACTGACATGAAGTCTATTTGTTTTCTTCATGCTTGCTTCATCAAACAATGACTTAAAGAAAGACCAGAGAGAGAGCCAAAACTGGATTTACAGAAGCCTTCTGTTCCTGCCATCCCACCGAAAAAGCCTCGGGCACCTAAGACCAATTCTCTGAACAGACCTGGTGCATTGCCCCCAAGAAGACCCGAGCGACCAGTGGGCCCACTGACGCACACCAGGTACTGCCATACTGCCATGCTCTCACCAAGGCGGGTAGGCATGGGATGAACGCAGGGAGCAGGGAAGAAACGGGAATCAAGCTTTGTTTAAAGATTCCAGCCACTTCTTTCCGGCGAGGACGTGCTTGCAAGGTGTTGGGGAACACAGTGTGGGCTTTGGGCTCAGTAGGTGGGAGCTGGGGGCATATCATGTAGATGCTGCTCATAGCTGGGCATTTTCCTGGCATTTGTTAGGACAGGCCAACTGCCTTGCAGGCTGGAGATGCAGGTGGTACACTCTCCTTCCCCTAGGTAACTGGCCTTTGTACACCTCACTGAAGTTATGTCTCCTAACCCTCTACCTATTCTGTGCTCTCTCTACTCGTCATTACACAACTTGATGTGGAACACATGACAGATTTCCTGGGGTATGTGTCTCTGAGCTCTAAGACCCTCAGAGACATGCCTATGATCACTGGCAAGTTTGTCACGTGGCTGGCTAGCAGAGACATGTGTGTTAGTAATATGAAATCAGAGTCGGTACCGTGCATCCCAGAACCGCATAGACAAGAGACTCTTGAATTCTCTCCACTGGTTCTTACCTAGAACTTTCTACTATTGCATCCATGCATAATCCACGCTGGTGTAGTACATCAGAGCGAGTTGGTGGCCTTCAGATCCTCATCTGTCTCTGCCAACACACTGAAGTCTGTTCTTGTTAGCTGTTTGCATGGTAAGCACAGTGTGCCGCTCTCTGAGTTGCTGTGTTGAAAGCAGGCAGGCAGTCCTTCAGGCTTGAATCTTAGCCCACCTCATAGGCTGCTTTGTGAGTTGCTGTCTTTCTAACCTACTTTTCACTATCTGTAAATTGAGGGTGATACTGAAATTCGCCTAGATATAATATTCAGCTATATAGCACATGCTGAGAAAGTAACAGTATTTTCCTTGTCAACTATTAAGCCGTGTAAACTGCAGTAAGACAATAGTGTTTACTTACATTTTAAAAAATTGTGGTAGAGCCCACATAACATGCAGTTTAACATCTTAACCATTTTAAGCGCATGGTTTGAATTAAGTATATTCGCATCATTGTGCAATCATTTCCAGAACGTCCCCCCTCTTGCATAACTGTACCTCTATACCCATTAAAGAGCGACTCTCCACTGCCATCTCCCTGTATCCCCAAAAGCTATTATTCTACTCCCCGTCTCTATGATTTTGACCCCTAGGTACTTATATAAGCAGAATCCAAGCGCATGGCTGTTTTCACTTTGCATGACGTCCTTCCTCAGTGCTCATCTGTGTTGTCAAGTGACCCATTTACTTACAATAACAAGAGCACCAAATGCCCCCCGCCCCAAGGAACACTGACCAAATACACAGACACTTCATGGCCTAGATGTCTGAGAGCTATCAGAAAGCAGGCAGCAGTGTTGGGTGCTGACATGTCTGTGTATAGGAGGCTGTCTGCCCAGCCGAGCATGGGCTGTGGGTATTTCCACAGCATTTGAGTTAACATTCTGTAGGTGTTGTGCCAGGGTTCAATCGAACCACTGCCTCTGTGAAATGGCCCTTGTGAGAATGAATTGGATCATAACCTCCAATGTGCTGGTCAGGTCCCTATGTGTCATAATCCTCTCTTCTGATAGGTAGTAAAGAGCTCTTTGCATGCGATGAGGCCACTTGGAAGCCCCAGTAACTCGAGCAACAGCCACATCAGTGGTGTGCTCATCCCAGAAGCTAACACACCAGGAGGAAAAGGTTATATAAACAGAGGTGCTTCTGAAGAGAATCTGACCTATACAAACAGAGAGAAGATGTAGAGCAGGAAACATCATCCATCACTTTATAGCTGGCAAAAGGGCAGCCAAGGCCTCATGCTGCCAAATCCCGATGGTCTTCAGGGATTACACACATCTCAATAAACTTAATAGCATGTTCTATTGCTAACATAAACATGTTCCCGCTGCTTTTTATAATGATCTAATCAAAAGAGAAGTGGTGTTCTCACTACTCCCTCCTTGTCTTTGATAGCTACCCTTGACCCTGTGACTGTGGGACAGGTGCAGCTTTGTCATCCCAGCTTAGCTTACAGGCCCAAGAGGTCATGTTCACTTCCTGCCTCTGCCTAGCTCTTCTCAGCCTCCAGTTCTCAAATCCACTTGTGAGTTAGAAGGGCAGGATACCAAGGAGGATGCACATGAGGACTATCTGTGTATATTCAGTAGTGGGAAACAAATTCTTACCATTGCTGTGCCATCAGAATAACCTGTGAAAAGACAGATTCTCTCAGCCCTACTCACCCTGTGGCTGCTCGGCCCCCAAGGCTTTGCACTACTGTGCAAGGGGATGGGGAGATGGAGGAAAAGCCCCAGGTTCTGGCATAGCCCATTGGAAGGAGGCTATTGGCTCAGTGGCTTTCGGACTTGAGCAAACTCCAGAATCACATAAACAATGCGTATTGGTGGGCCCCATCCCATGGTTGTGACTCGGTAGACCTGTAATAGACTTGGGAATCTGCATTTTGTTTGGGGGGTTTGTTATAATTTTTTTTTTGAGACAGAGTGTCTTTTAGCTCAGGCTGCCCTTAAACATGCTGTGGATTCAAAGATGATGTTGAACTTCTAAACCTCTTAACCTGCATCTTCCTAGTGCTGGGATCACAGGCATGTGCCACCATACTTGGCTTCTGTGGTGCTGGGAATTGAACCCAGATCTTTGCGAATGCTAGGCAATTATATTACCAACTAAACCATATCCCTAATCCTGGACTTTGCATTTCTCATAGTTCCCAGGTACTGCTACTGCTGCTGATGGTGAAGTCTACACCCCAGAACCACTGGTTTAGGTTCTCCCAAGTTGATGTTGGTCCTTTCCCATCATCCTCTGACCACCTCCCATGCACCTGCTGATACAGCCTGATCCCTGTGCTGCCAATCAGCATGTCCTCCTCTGGAATCATTCCAGTGTCTCTCACTATTGCTCTCTTCTCCAAATGCCTGACACCTCATGTTCGGCATGGTGCTGGGGCCGATATTGTGCCACTTGGGATGCACCCACCCCCGGACTCCTTTACAGGATTTAGAGCAGATCAAGAGTGTGTGTTTTGTCATTGCCACATGCCTTACGGTGTTGAGCATATGGTAGTGGCTCATTTAACAAACACTTGTTGAATGCCATAGTTCCTTAAGTGGGGGTGCCAGTGCTTAGATTTTATTCCATTTGCCTCTTCTGTGTTCCTTCCCAGCCTCTATACAAGCTCTTCAGCATGTGTTCCTTACATTCAGAGTAGCTTAGTATGTCATGGATTTTAAGAGGAAAAAAAAAACTAGAGATCAAAGAAAATCTCACTGCCCCTCGGTACCTAATGTACATAATACTGCTTGCTGAGCAGTTCCATTAGGAAAGTGTGTCATATATTAGTTTGAGAAGTTATTTCATTCTGCTAGATCATTTGTGGTAGGAGTGTGCCAACTGTATGCAAGCAGTCTGTGCCAGTGTCCCTCTGCAGAAAGGGCACTGTGTGCTGCGTGAAACAAACCCCCGCCAAGATTTACCTGACCAGATGGCCGGCAGGCTAACAGACAGATGATTAAGCCAAAGGACACACAGTTCTCACTGGCAGGTCTTGCTGGAGAAGGAGGTATTCCAGCTTCAGCTGCTGTGTCCGGGCTGGAACTCGCCAGCAGCCAACAAGCTGCTGCCATGTGGCCCTTGCAGGAAAGCTTTCCTTCTCTTTGAACAGGAAGAACTAGCTCCAAGGAAAGGGATCTCTGTGGAAGAAGAGCATAGTCTGTGTTTACATGCGCACGCTCAACAAAAAGCGCACCAAGGACCCACTGTGAGCCAGGCACTGTTCTGGATCTTAGGGAGGGTGGGGCTCATGTGTTCCTGTTCAGTTCTCAGGCGTTCTATTCAGGGACATCAAAAGGACACCAGAAGGGCACCAGCAAAGAAGTTCGTGTCCAGTCTAAGCAAGTTGAAGCACCCTGTAAGGACGCGACAGTGCCTAGTGTCTTCCTCAGGTATTTGCATTCCTCGGCACTGGTAAGAAGGGTCCTCTGATTTCTAGAAAGTGCATATGTAATTTTAATATGAAAAATGACTTCCAAAACTGCTACCAGGCTTAACTTTAAAATGGTGAGTGCCACGTGCAGTAGTAGCTCACGTGTCGCTCGAGCATTTGGGAAGCGGAAGTGGGAGCATCACAAGTTTCAGGCCAGTCAGGACTATGTAGTGAGACCCTAAATTAAAGAATGGGAATGCCAAAGAAAGAAAACAAATCGAGTGATGTTGGGAAAGTTCTATAGGCCACAAGTGTCTTCTCAATTTCTGGGCCTTCGTTATTATTTCATGGTGCGTTGAACTGACTCTGCTCACCCTGTGCAACCCACCCAATAACAGAGGAGCTGCTGGCGACCCAATGACCATTCTGTCTACTCTGTTTTGAGGCCTGAACATAAATAGATCTCAGTTAGCATGCACGGGTGTGCATGTGTGTGTGTGTGTGTGTGTGTTGTGGGGTTATAAGTTTAATAGTTTCTATTACCGACTTAATAAAAATAGATTCAGAAGCATCTGTGAGAAGAGAGCCTAACGCTTTGCAGAAGGGCCCAAAAGTAAAATGAAGAAAGTAAGGACATGATGAAAAAAGAAAATTGACATGGGCTCTACAAATTGCCTTTTGTAAAAGACAGAAAACCAGAAACCTGAGGAGCAGAGCAGGTGCTTGCCGTCAAAGGAAGGGAGGTAGAAGCAAGCCGGCTAGAGGTTAGACAGAAACAGGTTTGTCAATCCTCAGCAACCCAGACACCCTAAGTCATAATCGGTTTTCTTTTTCTTCTAAAGAATGAGGAAGCTAGAGAAGGACTTTTGCTCTCAGGAGAGAGATAGTGGGAGGGAGGGAGGGGAGGGGGAAAGACACTGATTTACCTGCAACCTGCTGCGAGTGCCTGTGCTCCGCATGAAAGGAGCAGGTATATCCTAAGGCATAGGTAACAGACATGGGGTCCCCATGAAAG